TTATATGACTAGAACAGAAGCAAAAGATTTACCGGTTCAGGTAGAGCAGCTTATACATAATTGAATTGTTGGCCGAGGTGGCGCTTCTCAATGTTAATCCATAATGTGCAGTGGGAATGGAGAGCAAATCCGGATCAATGGATTCCTTACGATTTGGCATCATCATCTGAGCTAGAAGAAGCATTTCAACAAAAAAAAGCAACGATCATTCCTAGACAGGGTTACTTTGCCTCAATACCTGATCGATATGAGATTCGGTTTAACTATGTCACGGGACGTTTCCAACAGTATAATATTTCGAGTGGTGGTATGAGGAGAGTTAGAAGGATTGCAAGCGGTAGGAATTCTGCGATCTAAACTTATCGAGTTCGCATGTGTTTCAATAATAAACGCTAATTCATAATTTACGAACGGCAAGACGATAATTCGATTCTTCAGCCCGTTTCATTTGAAACTGTTACATCTGAAGATTGTTGTATTATATGCCTCGATTCTTTTCAAGATCCGGATACCACGACTTCGGATCAATGTGTCGTTAAGCTACCTCCTTGTCATGGACATTATTTTCACCGAGCATGTGTCGCAGGTGAGCTCATTTGACTCATTCTTTTGGTACAATGATCTAGCCAATAACTCATTTTGATTTTTGTGTAATAGCCGCCATTAAATTGAAAGATGAATGTCCAATGTGTAAAAGAAGGATTGATTATTAAATATTTAAATTACGATGACTACCGCACGGTAGTGGGATCGTGTTGTAATCTTAATTTCTTATCATTGCTTAGGTTATATTCGAATTATTCATTTCATCATCAATAACTATCTCATATTCTGACAACTGTTCAAATTCGGAATAAATCAGATCATGTATAAATAAGTCATTTGAACTAAATTAGTATTGGTGAAAGTTTACTTGACGACTATTGATTGACTACTTAGGTACAGCTGTGAAGCAATTGACTAGTCAATCACGTCTGACCTATAACTCTTTTATAATGATGTCTAATTCCTTGAATGAATTTGGATTTAACATGAAGTTAACGTGAGTTCTTGACCGGCGATGCTTTTGTTGAAAGAAATTTTAGTATTTTCATTTCGTAATATAAAAAACAAAACAAGGCTGAATCTAACCTGTACAAGGCTTTCGTACTTCTTCCTGCAATTTTCACAATATCCGGGTTCGTCCTTGAGTGGCGCGAGTACCCGGTTGCACCTTTCTATAATGCCTAAAAAAAAATGTCAATATATTAGATATGATTATTTAGATCATTTGGTTTTTGATTCTTTGACAATCACCCGTTTGAGTCCTCTTTTGCGTTGTCCGAGCATCCTTAGTGGTATGATTACCGGAATTACTCATGTTCAGACTTTTGGAAAGCTTGGCTTGTATAATTTTCTTTGTTTCGAACGTCTGAAATGGTGACATGCCATCAGGCATGTCGAAGTGAAACCTTATGAGGTGATTTTCGCTAAGATATTGTCTTGAGATGATTGGTCGATGAATCAGTTCGCTATCGCCAACATAGATATAAAAATTTTTATTCTTTTCGTGACTTTTATTGTCGTTTGACGTAGATTGTAAGAACGAATGATCCACGTTTGGTGGATCAATAATTGAGGTGTCAAGTAATTTGCTAATTATTTTCATAAATTCTATCAAATGAATGATATAAATGTCTCGACTCATAATATTATTGGACAAACACGAGATTGAATGATCACGTACTATCGACGTGCCAGACCGTGATTCCACTCCTTTGAGCAGCAGCAAGATCGATGTCCGTCATTGCCTGTAAATATATACAAATAATAATTACATGAAGGGGAGGGGAGGGGAAAAGAACGCGCAAATATCAAAATATCATGTCCACTAACGTTAGCATTGATGGATTCTAGCAATTTTTTGTCAACGTTAAATCTATAGATTAAGTGAAATATCAGCATTAAGTTAAATCACGTGCACAAATCTAAATCCTTAACATACTTCTGCAGGCCTGCACTTATGTTGACCTGTGTTGATTCAAAAGGTCTTTTGGACGCGGCTTTTATCTCCTTGGTTGTCAATGTACCATTTTGGTTTTGCTTGGGAAAAATTTGTGATAAAATATTAACGTTCTCTTTGGAACCTCCCCGTAATCCGCCTCCTCCTTCATTGGCTCTAGGCGTTTTCAATTTCTTCCTCTGCGTGCCTGGTTGTGCAGCACTTATGTTGACCTTGGTTGACTCGAGTGACCTTTTTTGCGCGATTTTTGTTGTTGACACGCTTGTTCCCTTGGGTAAACAAAGAGTCATGTCTTCATGTGATTCACGCTGTTTATTTTCCTTGTTATCTTCCTTCGGCACTTCTCTTGAGGTGACTATATGCGTTACTTTTTCAACATCGTAGAATGAAACGTACTCCTATACACCACAATTAAAAAGGTGTAACAAAAGTCATTTCTCAAAAAAAAAACAAAATACATTTTTCACTTACAGCTCCAAGCATTTTGATACCCTGCTTCATCTGACTTTTATTTGTCTTGACGCTGTCGTCAAAATAAAATCGGCGATTCGGAAACTCTTTTCGTTGTGCATAAACCCATTCAAGCATCCTATCGTCTCTGTTGTAAATGGAGTCGTTGATTTTTCGAGTTTTAGAGATTGCCGAGGAATGCTTTCGAGAGTTTATGGCTTGTTGATCCTTCAGTGACTTTGATTCGCATGATCTTGTGTCGGTTGAATTAACTGAATTTGTGGCCAAAGGTGCAAAAATTTGTCGTTTTTTGTGCGCTTTGCCCTTTGTAGTCAATGTCGTTTGATGTTGGTTTGTCGCATCAGGAAGAAAAGAAGTCTCTGTAGGTGACAATCTTTCCGACTTTTTTTCTTGAGAAATATCTATTAGATAGGTACATCTCTTGGAATCCGGCGTAAAGTCTCTAGAATTTAGTATATGAGCAATTTCCATTTTTTTTATTCGGTGACCGGTGGTAGAAAGAGGATTGGTTCCAAGGAGGAATTTTACTTTTTAAGTAGTGTAATCCGTTGTGTGACGATACATGAACATTTGAATCAACGCGTTGTGTCAATAATTGTCGCGCTTTCTCATAACCGAAATTCGCGTCTTCGCGTCACACAATGTGATCATGTGATGACCACATTACTCTCGAACGCAGACCAATAAAATAAACAGTTCGTACTTGCATAATATTATTAAATAAAGTGCAAATGTTTAAAAACGTCACGCAAGTTTGTTATTTATGTTTACGCGACAAATGTGATTCAAAATAACAATGCCGACGTTGTTTACGGGTGTTATTACTTTATATGCGTGGCTAAAAAATTTATTAATATCCTTCT